CTCTCTCTCTCACTCACTCACTCACTCACTTACTCACTCTCCTATTTTTGTTGTATAATTGTTAACATTTTTATAATTAAATAATTTTATGAAAGTGCATGTGATTTGCTTTCAATCAAATTGTTAAAAATATATATTATTGTAGAGCTGCAAAAATCTGATCAAAAATGGCCTTGTTCATTGTGTCAGCCGCTACATCAACATGTTTGGTATTTAATTGAACATTGTCATTGGATCCCTAGTACAATTAATAGAAACAAAAATTAATATTTAAACATTAAATAACTATACAATGATTATGTTTATAGTTTATATACAGAGTTGTCCAAATCAAGCGTAATAAAGCCAAAGGCAGGAAATAAAATATTTAAGGTTTTACATTTGCCAAAATAAATAGTGTATTAAAAATAGTTATAAAATTACATTCATTTCGTACGTGTAGTAAGATTTTAGTTGACTTTTGGTCAATTGAAAAAAGTGACAAAACAATACAAAAGTTTGAACTATTTATGATGACTAATAAGTTACTGGTATATTCATTAAATATATTCACCCCTGCCTTTGCCTTAATTACGCTCGATTCGGACCCATCTGTACACACAGTGAACGCTATTATACTGTAATATTATACGTACAATATAGTCGTCGTGCGAAACGCCGAGCACAACGTCGAGCGTGTCCTCCATCTCGAGCACCGCTCCCGCGGCGAACGGCTTAATCTCAATCAATTTGCCGCTATATTGGGCCCACTTCTCGGCCACCGACCCGCGCACGACGTCCGTCAGTGTGCGGCGGCTCTTATTGGACTTGTGGTCGAAAAACATCGCAATCCTGGCCAACATTATGCCAAAAATCTCGCCCATATGGGGCGCCACCACTGCCTGCCGGGTCAACTCGGGCATACTGGCCGTAACGATCGCCTGCTGGCCGCTCACCTCGCGCTCGGCGCGCACTCGACCCTCAATACTGGCCAACACCTGCGGCGAACACTCTGTGGCCAACTGTTTCATCATAAACGCCACCATAAACTCGTCGGCGACGGCGCGGGCGTCAAACAGGCGCCGATCGGGCGTAATGTCGACAATCACGGCGCGGCCCAAACCCGTGGCCAATGATAATAGCCGTCCGCATACGGGCGCCATATCGAAAAAGCTGCACACGTCGTACGGCAGACGCCCGGCGTTTATTTCGCCGTTAATCTCGACGATTAACGCGATGTAATAGTCGCCAACGGCCTCTACGGTGGTCAGTGCGCTGACCTCACGGGTCCAGTTGAGTCCGATAACTGGCCGCTCGAGTCGCTCGGCCAGTGGGGCGACACCGGCGAAGTTGAGCGCCAACGGGGGCAAGAAAAATACGGGCGCCCGCCCTGTGGTGTCGGACACCGCGTTTAAGCGCACGTATCTCTCGGTGGGCACCACTAACCGACGCCTCTGCGCCGACGAGTGGCCACTTTTCCTGGCCATAGCGTACTGGCGTATGGGCTCCGGATCGCCGCCGGCGTACGCCTTAAACATGCCGACAGTTAGCCCCTTAAGGTGCGCGAGCGGCACATTCATGTCGAGCCGGTCTCTAAACTCGTTTTGCAATTGTATGGCAAACATCGACTCGAGCCCTATCTCGCCGATAGTCACCCCATCGGGCGTTGTGTTCGGGTCGACGCCCAACACTGACCACAATTCGCCGATTAGTCGACCGCCAGAGCCGACTCTTGTCGCCGATCTGTCGCCGCACCGGTTGTCGTCAAATATCTGCCGATAAACGTAACCATAAAAATACAAACTATATTATTAATTGTTCACTTATGTATGCGTTTACCTGCGATGTGACGATCGGGTAATCAGTGGCCAACAGTTTGTCCAACACGTCCACCGCCGACAGCACCCGCTGTTTGCGACACGCGGTCAGCGACTCGTATTCCTGGCGGCCTTCAAAGACGCCCACATCGCCGATCGGGCCGTACTGTACGGCCAACCCATGCATACCATCCCTACGCCGGCGTTCGCACAGCCGCTCGCACACAGAGTTGCCGTAACCGTAATTGCATTGACCGGCGTTTCCCTTACCGGTGCTGATGGAGGAAAACACCACAAAGTGATCCAATTTATAGTCTAACCCACGGGTCAGTTGATCCAGATTTTCAAACACCCGGTGCTTAGTGTCGGCCGTTTCGGCGAACTTATCGATTGTCATATTTTCGGCCAAACTTTCGTTCAATACGAGCGCCAAATGAAATACCCCTCCAATGGGTCCCAACTCCTGAGCCTCCGATAGCAGTTGTTTTGCGCTCTCAATAGTCAACGCATTGGCCGTCGATATAATGAAATCGCACTCAATATAGGGTTTAGTATTAGTATTATTATAAATACGTTTTACGCGATTAATGAAAAACTTTTGATAATCAGTGGTGAGTCCGCGCCGGGAAGTGATGGCAAACTTTCGGGCGCCTTTGCAGTGCAACCACGGCAACAATTCCAGACCCATTCCGCCCAAACCGCCGGTAATTATATACACTTTGTGTGGATTGAAATACGTTTTGCGGGTCACCGGCATTGCCAGCGCCGGTGTTATGCTTACGGGTGGCCGCCTATCGGACTCTTCGTCGCGGAACTTAACGATCACTTTCTCGATAGTAGTAGTCATCAATCGGAACGCGTCGACAACTTCTGTGACGGCGAACGCCGTGTGATTCAACGGTCGAACGCATCCGTTGTCGGCCGACGAGTGGCCGTCAATCCATCGGTAAAAGTCGGCCATAAACTCGACGCTCTGTTTTGCTATAGTGTTGGGCGCGACTCGTGTGTACTGTACGTCTCTATCGTCTGACGCCATAACTATCGGGAGTTTAGCGCCGTATTGGCCGCACAACTCGACAAACCGGCCGCCACTGGACAGGCACTCCATGCCTAAGACATCGTCGGACGCCGAGCACTGGGTGTTTACCACTAGATGTACGCCTCGGCCGCCCGTCTCAGACATTAGGCGCCCATTTGAGTGACAATCGCTGTCGGCGTTGACTATCCGTTTGGCCGGTATATTGTGGCGAGCGATCAGATTCAGCCGCTCCTCATCCGTGCCAACCGTGGCGTATATATCGCATCCGTAGTGTTGGCACACATTGATGGCCGCCTCACCCACACCACCGCCACCGTAGTGTATTAGCACACTCTCGCCTATTATGATAAATTGTTGAATTGTTACAAATTGTACCCTACCTTCTCAATGAGTATATTTTCATCTTATACTTTATTTAAAATTAAAACAAACCTTTTACAATGTGAGCTCTTTTAATGAGACCGTAATATACAGTGCAATACGAGCTCAGTATAGTCGCCGCCTCAGCCATTGACCAGTGGTCGGGAATGGGAGTCATGTGAGTGATGGGCGCGTAAACATTGGTTGCCAGGCATCGGCCCTCTGGCGCTACGCCCATCACCCGCTGGCCGGTGTCCGCCCGGCGGCCACTGAATTCAAGGCCCAATTGGCAATCAGTAAACACCGAGTTTATTGCATTAGGCAAATGACCTGTTACATAAAACAAATTAATATCTTCATATAGTAATATAAAAATAATATATATATAAATTAAAATGAACATGATTAATACCATTTGCCACCATTATGTTGTGTTGTGAAACGCCCGAGTAATAGACATCCACACGAGCTTTATCAATTTTGTTATTATTAGAATCTTGGTTAATTTGTGTAACTTTTTGCCCGTCAAACCATTGCAGTCCTGATATATCACGTGTTGATCCGATATTTAGATAATAATCATTGGATAGACATTTGTCGTAATCTTCAGGTAGTTTTAAGTGCCTATAAGTGCCCACAACTCCCGCTTTGATTACATTTGCCACCAAATTATTTGCCAATATTTCCGAATAAAGCGTTGAGTTAAAGTCAACGGACTTTTCAATATTATCGTAATGAAAAATATATCGCAATTTCTCTCCTCCCGGCTCTAAACGCAAACAATTCATTAAACCAATGATACCATTGATTGAGCCGTCGTTTCCCATAAGCCATACGTTATCGCAATTATTATCTAATTCTTTAGATTTTATAATATTTTCTTTTATTATTGGAAACCATTTCTCATAATCTTCTGTTATATTAATTATGTTATTATCTTTAGGAATTGCATGTATTTTGTCAACCTTTCTGAACAATAGGACAGCGTTTCCTATTGTGTCATATTTTGTAGAAATTATTTTAAAACCAATTTTAGCCGAAACTGATTGAAACGCTTTGAGACGTGAATCCAAATCATTATTTGTGACACAATTTGTTGTTGTATTCAATGAATTGAACGCAATCTCCGGTTCAGTAAACTTATACCGAAATACAGTTAATAAGAATCCATTGCTTTCTATGGAGTCATACAAGTCCTGAATAAACGCATTTAAATCTAATGGCCATAAGTCTTGTGAGTCTCTCATTATAACCAAATGCGATGGCGTTAGACATAAAGCACCGGCACTCGGATCCCAGTCCTTAACTCGATCGCCATATTCTTCAATAAACTGTTTATTATTATTGTTAACAACCAATTGATAATTTGAATTAAGCGTATTTATACGAAATCTGGTTATTAATTTTTGCACATGATCTATTAAGAGACTTTTTGTTAAATTAATCTCGGTCACATTAATTTCTGTAATATTTCCATAGTTTTCGCAAACCATATCCACAACACATCGAAACAATTGGTCATTTTTGTGGATTTGATTTATCATATCTGCACTCAAATCGTATTCCGGTTTTGCAATCATTTTATTCAATGTTTCATTAATAATTTGTTTGTTGTTATCACTAATATTGCAATTCTTGTCCACCATTTGTTTGATAATTGTGTTGAATATACGAAACAACACGTGATTCCCATTGTTTGCATTCGTATACTTTTGTATAGCATTTTGTGTGATATCTGTGTTGTTTGAATCGCATTTCACACCCGATTGGTTTAGTTTAACAGCCATTGACTCGCAAACCTAATTATACATAAAACAACATACAGTACGAAAATAGATTAAGATTAAGAAATATATTACAAATAATGCTATTTTACAACTAGACCTCAATATATTGCAACATTTCTGCGCGCATCGTGTCATCGATGGCCGCCATATCATCGTTGGGACAGAATTCGTAAGACTCGAGCGTAAGGTTAGAGTCGTGTCGTGTGGGCATCGGTTGTGCGGTAATGTCGTCCACTTCGACGCCGGGCGACACCAGCCGTCGGGTGTGACTGTCGTAACAGAAGGGGATGTCCGCCGAGAATTGGGCGAAACGATCGCTAAACTGTTTGCATTCAATGATTGTTATATTTTTACATTTTCTTACTGTTTAGTATATAGGAATAAACACTCATACTTGTTAGAATAATTAATATACTTTATATTAATGTAATTTTAATTTAAAAATCTATCTTACTAACAAATCAATTCTGCTGAATGCAATATTAATAAATTTAATTTATGTAAAATTCATTTACATAGAAAAAAATTTACAAGGAAATAACTTTGCTCATTATTAATTGATTGAGTGTGTGTTATTGGAGAGAGTTGCCTATTAATATTAGTATCTTATATAGATATTATATAAATAGTTTACTAAATGCACTACATTAAACCTAACATATTTTTAAATAAAATTGTATTATGAACTTAAAAATCTATGCAATTTTATATATTAAAATAAAACGATTATAAGAAAAATAAATGTTTTATATACAAATTGATGTACCTCATTATTTTGACACTGTGTGACAATATCCGGGTGACATTCGCCGGGCGTCGGCGTCATTATCGTTGGCGCTAAACCGGCGGTCAAACGCTCGGCCCATACGGCGGCAAACAGCGCGCGCGGGTCCAAACGCATGACACCAATGCTGACCGGCATAAACCCCGCGCGCCGCGGCCACAGCAGCCCAACCGACTGCAACAGATCGCCCATATAGGCCACCGGATTGCCCGTCCACTCGCACCGGCCGTACGCCCGGCTAAACGTGTCGTCGCACCGGACGTAACGCAACCGTTGAAACGCCGGCCCGTTATCGACGCCCAACGCCCGCAAATCGCCGTACATTTCTGGCCGGTCTATGGCGTACGCCGGGCGCCCGTCCGCAATCATTTGGCGCCACGTTTCAGTCTCGCCGCCGTCGGTGGCCGTCGCCCGACACGTGACACACAGTTCGTCGTTATTATATATGTATGTTTCGCCTGTTTTAATGATTTTTTAAATATTTAACAATGATGTTTATTTAATCGTGTAATCTACTTAAAAATATTTTTACTTTAAATGTAATAATATTTTCATACCAGTCGGCGCAAAGTATTTCACCACGAGCTTAGTGTCGGCCCTGTCCGATAAAAACACCGCCCGTCGAAGGGCTATGTTCTCAAACACAACCGGACACTCTGTCCATAGTTTGCCAACACTGGCGGCCACTTTACGCCACGCCATCATAATATAGCCGCTGACCGGTATTACTGGCTGGCCGTTAATTACGTGCTCCATATAAAATGCATCTTGTTCGTGTTTGTGATTAATTACAACGATTGTGTCCGACGAGGTGGTTTTGCAATAATTATCGTGATAATTTTTTACACTATATCTCTCGCTGTGATCCCATTTGATTAGCGCTGATATGGACGGCGTATTCCTGGCCACCGGCCACTCAACCGGTGCGTACAGTCGATCAATGGCCAGATTAAAGCCCAGTTCGTAAAGTTGCGCCATACCGGACAAAAACATATCCATATTTATGGCGTTTGAGTCCTTTTTAATGAGCGATATATACAGACTGTTGGGTAGAGTTTCGGACACTATCTGTTTGAACACTGAGTGCGGGCCCAACTCGAGCACAATGGCGTCGGCGGGCAGTGTCTGTAACTGGTCGTGAAAGCGGACCTCATTCACCATATTGTGTTCAAAATACTCTCCACCCCCATATGCAAGCCGTTTGTCTTCGAGCTCTGACCTGAACACCGATGTGGACAACCATTTCTCTGACCTGAGCTTAGGGTTGGGTACGTATGTATTGATGGCCTCTTTCATGGCTTTCGCCGATTCGCTAATATATGGCGAATGGTATGGGATTTCATCGCAATCTAATGGCCGCACGAATACGCCCTTCGCTTTCAATTCTTTTATTATATTCAGCATTTCATTCATCGGACCTAAACATTAAACGCATCATAAATTGCATATATTTTTAATGATAAAATAAATTTGTGTTTACCAGTAATGACTACATTATCCTTCCCATTATTACAGGCAATATATACACCGTTTGGACAGTAAGTCCGCGCCTGGGCTCTGGACAGACCGACGACTGCCATCAGGCCTTTGGGTATATTTACATTTTGCACACTATTTATGGCCCGAAGGGCCGTATATAACATGGCACCCCTCGCGTCAAGGCATCCGTCGGCAAAACCGCAGGCGAGCTCACCGAATGAGTGCCCGATTATGCCGTCGGGAGTGATGTCCAGGTCTTTGATGACCGCAAACAACGCGATCTCTATAGCAGTTGTGGCCACAAATTTGGCGGTCATCGTAGAGATGGCTGTCTTGTCCTCCGATAGTAATATGTGTTTCAAATCAATGCCAAACTCCTTGTGAACCGTTTGATGACATTCTTCTATAGTGTCGGCAAATGTCTTGATTGGCATCAAAGCCTTCGCCATTGCCGACCACTGGCCGCCCAAACCCGGGAACAGTACCCATAGAGGTCTGCGGGTTTTCTCAGTCATAACTCCCATCTGTTTTTTGTATTCATATTTTATTTCGCCGTTTATTTCTTTTGTTATTCTCTTTATTATAATTGAACCTAAATTAACAAATATATTAATTAATATAAATAATTACAACAATTCAAAAGAGTATTATACAAACCCCTGAATGTCATTCCCGATGAGTTAACATTTGGAGTATATTTCATGGTTTGCGCCAAAAGTGCCAAAAAATCATTTGTAATTTTTTTGGGATTATTCTCAATGAAATCCATTATATATTTGACGGACTCTTCACTTCTGCCGCAAATGTTGACAATTCTGGGCATAATATCGGCAACATTAATGTGGCCATCACTTGTGGCCAACTTATAGTTGGGTTCGAGCAATACGTGTCCGTTCGCACCCCCGATACCAAAACTATTTACCGCCGCTAAACCTATAATGAATTGTAATTAATAATTAATTTTTAAAAAAATAAAGTATATATTTCAAAATACATGAATGTTTATTTATAAATTCACAAACTGCAATATTCATATTTATCAGGCTAAATATCAAATAAATTGTTTGTCAAATAAAATCTTTGTTTATCATACCTGGGTCATAATCATGTGGCTTTACAACAGGCAAAATAATGGACAACAATGGTTCTAGATCTTTTCTTAATTCACTTAGATTAATATTTGGTGGTATGCATTGATTTTCATAGGCAATGAGCACTTTAATAAGTGACACCAAACCGGCGGTCCCTTCCGCGTGGCCCATATTGCTCTTCACTGCCCCCAACGGCAACCGCTCCGTACGGGCCGTCGGTTTACAATACGCGTTGCAAACGGCGTTAATTTCCGTAAAATCGCCCGCCTTTTAGATGAAATAAATATTTTGTACAGTAAACTATACAATAAACCTTATAGTATATGCAATATGTCAATAGAGACTATCTAGGTAAATGATAAAGTTTATATTGTGGTATTAACCTGAGTGCCGGCGCAGTGCAACTCCGCGTATGAGAGTTTACTCGGATCGACGCCGGCGTCGGTATACGTGCGGACCATCAGCGCCTCCTGAGCGGCGCCCGACGGCCGGTACATACCCTCCGTCTTAAAGCCGTCAACATTTAGCCGTACGGCGCGTACGGAGGCGTAAATACGCCGGGCGTCCGGTCGGCGCTGCAACAGCACAGCGCACACGGCGTCCGCCTTCACGTAACCGTCCGCCCGGGCGTCCATCGGTGCGGACACTCCGCGCGGCGAACACACGCCTAACACTTGTTGTGTTTGAGCAAGAATTGGCTGTAGGTTTATGCATGTGCCGCACACCACCGCTGTGTCCACGTGACCTGGTTATGGGTTAGACAGTTATTTTGTATTATATCCATCTTATTTATACAAATTTTGTAATGGAACATGTGTTTTAATTAATTAAAATATTAGGTGCTTTATAAATAAATTATGGCAATAAATTTTGCATTCAATAAGGTTAAATACTAGTGATATAAATATAAGTGACTCATTAACATCCAAACTTGCATGTTTTTAAATATTATTACTTTCAATTCCTATTCTACTGTACATGAACTATGTAGCAAAATTAATTTATATTTTTAAAATGATAACTTTTAACTCTATTCTGTATGTATATAACATTTAAACTATTAATATAATGTGCTAAACATGACAGACAATACAAACCCAATAGTATATCATTGACGGCCATCGATAGTGCGGCAAAACTGGCCGAACAGACGCTGTCGCACATGACGGACGGCCCCTTCAAGTCGTACACAAATGATATTCTATTAGCGAATATACCGGTCGTGTGACCCAACGTGCGTTGCATCGCGTCGTGAGCCGTTTGGTTCAAATCAGGCTGAAGATCATTGGGCAGACCGTCGGCACCGGCCAGACCAGTCCAGCCCACGTATACACCGGTTTGCGTACCTCGAAGCTGTTGCGGGTGAACACCTAGGTATATTAAATTAAATTATCATTATTATACTAAATATCAGACAGAGGCATCCTCCCTACAGTTATTCACATATAACGTATATACCGTATAAAATGACATTATTTTTACTGGTAATACTATGTCACATCAAGTTCAAATATGATTTTTTTAATTTAAGAAATATACTAATTAGATATCATTACTCTCACTCCTAAAACTTATATTTCAAATACAAACTACAATGAATCATATTTGAACTTGATGTGGCATAATATTACCGTTAAAAATAATGCTATTTTATACGGTATATACATTGTATGTAAATATCTGTAAGGCGGATGTTGTTTGTCTGTTAAATATATTTATGTTAACACTATTTATTCAACGCTCTAAATGACAAAACAAAGGAGACTGACCGGCGTCGACGATGGCCTCGTAGACCACTTCCAATAGCATACGGATCTGTGGGTCCATCAGATCGGCGCCCAATTGGCCGAAGAACGCGGCGTCAAAGCGATCGCAGCTCCCGATAACACCGATACGCGCGTTCATACCAAACAAATCTAAATATTACATGGGCAATTATAATTAATATATAATATTTAATTATTTATAATTACAATACCTTTTGACCACCGGTTGTGGTCATCGGTAATCAAATCCCTGCCTTCGTATAGATTTCTGGCGAATTCGTCGATAGTGTCAGACATCGGGAATCGACCCGACATTCCCGTAATCACCACATCATTGATAGCTCCGGACTTAGACAGAGATGACATGTTTTTAGTTTAGCAAAGTTAAATGTTTTTTGTATTATAATTATTCAGACAGCTAAATAATTGCAAACAAATCGCATAAATTGTAATAAACCGATTTTATATATATATACTATTCAAAATATTTTTATTTTTATTTTAGCTATAATTCTAGTTTCATTTTAAATAAAATAAACTATATTGTTATCTAGAATATTAAAATTTAAAAATTATCAGAGAGAGAGAGAGAGAGAGAGAGAGAGAGAGACTAAACTTTGTCAATTATAAAAATTTTCAAACCTATAAACTTTATAATATATCTTGGTGTTATCAAGCTTTGAACTTACAAAGTATAACGACAACAACAAAAATTAAAATTATTTGTTTTTATTTACTTTTAAAGTTTTAAATGAGTATAAATACTAAGAATTAATTACTTACTTTATTAAAAGTTTATCTTGAACTATTTGTAACTTATAAAATATTTATTTATCATATAGAAATCGTTGATTTTATTTAGAAATATATTAAAATGTGAAAATAGTTTAATTTTATGTAAAAACTTTGCCCTTGATTTTAATTCTAAGACGAAAGATATTTTTATTTATATTTCTCTATAAATGTAATTTAAGATTACCATCTTAGGTAACAGATATATTTGATAATAGTGTTTTTAAAAAATTATTATATTTACTAAAATGATCACGTATTAATTAACTAAAAAATATTTCTCATAACTAATGATAAATAAAATTCTTGTCTCATGACAACTCTAATAGTAATTATAATGGGTTTAGTTATAAATAGATTTTACTCATTACAATAAACTGTATAAGTAACTAAACATTTTTATTGTAGTTTGTTTTACAATCTTTAGTTTATAATTATAATAATTAGTTATCATTTAAATGATTCTGTGATTTAATACATAAAATATATTCACTGATATTTTGTTAATATAATTAATGTATTTTATTCAACAGTTAATGTAATGATATGTTTGGAACACTTTTTCACATTATGTACATTATCTATACATTAGATTTACATTAAATAGTGATTTAAACAAGCTAAAAAAGCAGTATTTAATTAATTAATAGATTTATATATAATATGCAAAGTCGATTTATAAATGGACTTATTTTTGAAAATTATGGATGGAGTTATGGACATAAAAATGCCAAAATATGGACTTATATATGGAGTTTTAAAATTAATTTTATTGATACAAAATTATATAAATATCAATTTATAGCAAGAAATGAGTCAAAAGAAGTTAAATTTCATGTATTTAATGTATTCTTTGGTCATATTTTTGATTTATCTTACAATATCCATAAATTGTCAAAAAATGTTATTAATTGATTGTATAGTTTGTGAAGCAATGTTTTGATGCACACGACAGATGAATTATGTTGTTGAAAATATCGCATTTTCTTTGAATTAATAATACAGGGAAACAGATTTTTGAAAAAATTATTTACAGCTATTGTAAAGTAAATATATATAAAAAATAATTCCATTTTTATGTTAAATTGTGACGAATTTTGTATAAAATTAAGCGATTTTAAGCTATATTAGGATCTTATAACCAAAATATCCAATATATGGACATATTTATGGACATATGGAGTTTTAGGCAAAATATGGAGTTTTATGGAACATAAATGTGGTGTCAAAACACCCCTTATTTTATGATTGGTGTATATCTTTCAATTTCCATGTGATTTAAATGCATATAAAAACATGGATTTCCATAACTCCATCGTCTTTGATAATATGCCAACAATTAAAATGCAAATGAAAACTATTAGAAATGCATTAATGTATTTGTATTGATATAAATAAAATGAGAAACTATTTGAATGTCAAATGACAGTAAGGATGGGATAATACAAGAAAAAAAGTTGCCATATATTATTACATGTATATAATGTATTATTACTAAAGCTATTCAGAATATGTATTTATTTATAGTCAAATATAATATTTATTAAAAATGGTCAAATATTTGCTCATATATTTACTAAAAAGGTCAAATATGTATTTATTTATTTATAAATCTCAATATTCTATATAAATTCGAATTAATCTATTCTATGGACAAAATAACGAAATATTATGCTAGAAATGTTTGGTAAATATATTTAAAAACATATTCTGAACAGCTTTAATTATTACATACAATGCTTAAGAACTAGAAATTAATGCAAACCAATGAGCAATGCTAATCTGTGAACTTATTTATAAACTAAAATAGTGAATATTTGCATAGATATAACTACTTTTACGGTATTATTTCTTTAAATAATAATTGTTTACAATTTTTAAATAAATGGATAAAATAGTATTATAAGTAATGTTAATATTGTCCATTTTTAGCAAGTATTGTCAATAATTTACGCTATGTTGTATGTATGGCAAATCTTATCGTGAAAGATACACGAATAATACACATGTAATATACATATCGTTTATTATTTCCATCCTTAAATGAAAGCAATTAAAAGTTTTTTTTAAATGAAACAACAAATTAAAAATAATTGAAAAAGTGTAAATTCTTTAGAGAAATATTCTGTAACAAAAAGAAATGAGAGAGAGAGAGAGAGAGAGAGAGAGAAAGAGATTATTGGATTAATAATACAGACAATAATTATTGTGAGACAGATGTCTCCACAAACGCTCATTCATTCAATACTCTTATGTACTTTTGAGCGCACTTTTGTCTATTTAGCGCTCTTATGCCTAATATAGCCCTTCAGTCTTATCTCAGCGCTCAGTCATACCTGAACGCCATTTTTGTATCTCATATTCGGTCCAATTTATTCAATAAAACTTATATTTGATTCAAATCGCGACTGAATATCATTAAGAGTGACTCAATAGTCGCTCAATTGGCGCAATCGGCACAGGATATCAATCCCTACTCAACACTTATCGTCCAAATCGTCGTTTTCATCGGCAATCACTACATAGAAGTCAATGCGTTTTTCTGCAAGTCATTCACTGCAAGCCTTTCACTGCCAGTCATTCACAATGAGTAGCAGAGGAAGAGGACGTCTTCCGCGAGTCATAACTGGCCGCAGACTCACAAGAGCTGCCGCTTCACCACGAGGTGCAACCACTCGCGCATCTATTGTCGATACTATCGGCGACGACGACATCACTCGATTGGTTCAACGAATGGCAGTTTTGGCGCCAAAAACTCAGGCCTCATCGACAGTCAATGTCACAGCGCCTGCATCTTCGCCACAGTCAGCCGCCGTTCCGATACCAATCGCACATAACAGCACATCTGGTTCACAAATGATTCGCTATGACTTCGGGTCATCATCAAATACAATGCAAACGCCATTGTCATCGCGGGCACAGCCGTCCGTCACTCAAACAGCAAATCAT